GTTAAATATGGAAGAATGAGAAGAAACCTAGGTTAAAGGTAGAGACAATATTTTCAAAAAAATCAGCAAACAAAACTTCCCTAAACTCAGTAAAAAGGTGCCTATCAAGATACAAGAAGCATAGAGGACACCAACTAGACAGGACCAGAAAAAATGCTCCTCAAGACGTGAATGAAATAGGCAACCCAGAACAGAAAGAGCATTAAGAACAACAAGAAAGACAAAGTCACACCCATCAGAATACCAGCTGATTTTTTTAATGGGGACTTTAAAAGCCAGAAGGGCTTAGGACAGTATTGTACAATTTATGGAAGGATACAGATGCCAGTCTATTGTACTCAGAAAACTATCACTCATAATCAGAAGAGAAGCTTTCTGTGATGAAACATGGAAGGAATTTATAACCAGTAAGTCAGCTCTACAGAGGATACCAGAAGGAATACTTAGGGCTTAAGAGAGGTTTAAACTGTTGAGTGGTGTTATTGCATGCCTTTAATCCCAGCACTGGGAGGCAGAGGCAGGGGGATCTCTGTGAGTTCAAGGCCAGCCTGGTATAGAACTAGTTCCAGGACTAGAGCTGCTAAGCAGACAACTATGTCTCTGAAAGGGTCAGGGTATAAACACAATTAAGGAGGCATGGAAAATATATAAGCAAACAATTCCTTTAATAAAACGTGACAAAATGACCAGAATTAACATACAGTTTTCTACATTGCTACTATATTCACAATAGAACAACATAAATATTCTTCAACTGAAGAATGGATAATGAAAACATGGTAAATTAAATCATGATATCTTCAAGTAAATGGATGAAACTAAAAAATATTATGCCGAGCATCATATCCCAGACCCAGAAAGACAAACACCACAAATTCTCTCTTTGGTGGTTTCTAGCTCCAAATCTTCAGGTGTGCGTATATAACCTGGAATAACCACAGAAACCAGAAAAGTAAAAGGGTTTCGGTGTGTGTGTGTGTGTGTGTGTGTGTGTGTGTGTGTGTCTGTCTGTCTGTCTGTCTGTCTGTGTGTGTGTGTGTGTTAGGGAGGAGTGCCAGAGATAGGAATAGTAGGATGCAACTTACATGAAGACGAAAATAAGAAAAGCATGAGGAGCTTTAACTGAGGATGAGGAAAGGATGCCAATGCAGAAGGGGAGGAAAAGAGGGACTAATAACACTAAGGATATTTGCAAAACTCGTAAGGAATCATACTACTTTTGTCTGAAATTACAAATAACACATATAATCTTTCTTATATATGCATTTGTAAAGAGAAATGAAATCACTCTGAGTGAGGTGAGACTCACAAACATAGTGTGTTTTTTTTTTCTCATTTTCCTACATTGGCTATGAGTCTTCCAATATGTCTGTTCCATTTTGAAAGCCCATAGAGGTCAAGTAATTAGTAAGGCATCACTGGGGAATGAGCTCCAGGGAAGACAGCTAGAACATAGTGTTGTAAAGGGCTTAAGAGGAATAAAGAAACAGGAAGAGTTGTATTGGGGTGGGAAGGGTGGTCAGAGTGGAGGAGAGAATATGGAAAGAACAGTTAAGTAACCTAATAATTAATGACATTTTCAAAATAATTATATGAAAACCTACTGTAGAAGCTTTCTGAAATATGTACACAAATACATGTAAAATGAATCTAAGTGAAGTGAACCCTGCAACGGTGCAACAATGTCCCCATTAAACACCACGAGATAAGAAAAATATAAAACCTAGTAGCTGAACTGTGTTATCTCTTGTGCTGGATAATTTTATGTTAGTTTGATACAAGCTAAAGTCATCTGAGAGAAGGGGATCTCTGTTGGGAAAATGTCTCCATTAAGAAGCTATTGGCAGCTGGTAGCTTCTGACAGAGAGAGTCAGTTTTCCTTCAGAGTGTTTTCCCTGTTGAGTTGACCACCCTCTAGGGGAGACCATCCACGAATACATGGGTAGCACAACTTGGCAGTATGACAAGGGACAGGTTGGGAAGTCATGGGGGTGATTCTGAAAAGAGTAGGAGGAGAGGCAAATACGAAAAAATACATTGTATGCAATTTTCTGAAAGCTAACAAAAAGGGGAAAAGTGTAATTCAATTCAAAAGTGAGATGTTTCTGGTTAAGGTAAAGTACCAAATATTAATAAGCATAATAAAACAATATAATATAGCAATAACAGTTATAGCATGTGTCTAAGAGTTGAGAACATTTTGCTCAATTAATTAGGAAACAAACTATCTAGAAATTTTATTTACATGTTTAATGCTTACACATTTCAGTAAAAGAAAAGTTTAAATAAGCTAATATAAAACATGCCACTATTGTCATAGGATTATCATTAGTAGTTTATCTTTAAAATGTTAGTCATATTATCTTTATATTTAATTTAAGGGAGATTTATAGCTTGAAAATGTAATGACAGATATTTTATAGTTACATATACTATGTATAAATAAAACAATAAGTGTATTTATAATGCATAGACTATAAAATGTGTGCATTATGTTGTATACATTAATTTCCCTGATAATTTTGAAGATAGTTTTTGTTTTTAGGTGAACTTACTAAACAGAAATTCCTTGACAATTCACTAAATTCAATAAGTGAATGTATATTTTTAATATTTTCTATTTGATACTAAAGACTGTAAAAATTATCTTAGAGAAATATTATTGAAAGTTAGTCATACTCTTTAATTTGTCTTGATATAATCAATGTAATATTTTAATTATTAAGTAATGCATGCAATAATTCAATAAATATAATAAACTAGAATTCTTCACTGCAAAATGCCTTGTACGTAAATGTATTGCAGATGAGATATCTTGTAAATGTTCAGATTTCCAAAGTAATGCCCATTTTAGTTGGTTCTTTGTTATTAGTGATGTTGTTACTTGATGGTTTTGGCAGTTTTGACCCAAGTCTTTGAGTGTAAAAATCATCCTTCTGTTTTTCTCACTCAACTTTGGAAATTCTTTTTTAAAACAGGCACTGGAAAATGAGACAGACCAGAGCTTAACCATGCTGCAAGAGAGGACTTGCGTGAAAAAGGAGGAAGCCTGAGAAAAGAGTAGAAGTAGGGACAGGAATATCTGTGACAGAAAGCAGGCAGGTTTTTTGGTCTAGGAGTGCCAGAGAATTAGAAAGGCACAGGCAAGATAGATTGTAGTCTTTTAAGTTGAAATGTGAGTTCTCAGGAACCGCAATTCCAGTGGGAGCACTGGAGGTGCTGGGAGCACTGAGGGGTTGCTCTGAGATGGGAGCCGTGGCAGAAAAAAAAATGTTATGGGGTAATCTGGAGAAATGAGAAAAGTGAGTCATAGTAATAGTAATAATGATAATAATAAATAATAATAAACCCAATGATCTTGGAACATAAACATGAAGAAGAAGGAGTCTTTGACATGCTTGAAATAAAACTGAGCTCCAAACTGAACAGGGTGTGGTGGGCATCAGAGAAAAGGGGATTATGGAGAACAGAATCTGGCCCAGTTCCCCAAATGGGCCAGTTCTTTGCTTTTGGCTCCTTAGATGTGTTATGGTACACCATATGGGTGTGTTTTGTTTAGAATAGGAACTGGGTGCACCGGATTGTAGGGTGGTGCTAGTCACTCTTGAGGGTTAAAGGGTAGGGCGGGCCAGACCATCTGATTCAGGGTGGGAACTTTGGGTGACTCCATATCAATTGAGTGGGAGAGCAAGTTCACCAGTGTGGGCAATTAACCAATCATCAGACAATCACAGTTACATAAGGAAACCTGTCAGTTCAAAGGGTAGGAGGGAGTTTATTCTGGAGTTTTAAACATTAGCGACCATGGTTTGGGAACAGATTTAATTACCACCAAATCCATGTTCCAATGTGGTAGCGATTTGATGAGGCTTTAATAATGATATAACAAAGCACACCGTAAGTGAAGGCATGTTGAAGATACATTGGTGGGAACACTCAGTATATGGGTGGAAGCAAAGTAGAGAAAACCATTCTGGAGACCTCATGTGCTCTCTGACGGTGTTCTTAGTCTTTGGTTGGTGGAAAGGAGGCTTTTGTCCAAAGGTTTTCTTAGCTGTTAGTCACAGAATATTAGCACTGACACAAAGTGACTAAGAGATGGCTACTAAGGTAGATAAGGGTAGATAATGAATTGTTATTAGGCTCTGAACCTGCAACATTCCAACATCTCCCCACTGGTTGAAGTTCTGAATTTAGCAAGTCAAATCCCCTCATTTAGAGTCCTGGAGAGATTACAACACAACAGTTTCGCAATCATTTTTAGGAAGACAAACTATATTTACTGGGGTCGGACATCTATGTAATACAGACCAAAGAGCTTGAGCGGCTGCCTATTTACAAATAGGTGGCAAACAAAGAAGAGAAACATGGTGGACTGGAGGTAGATGTAGCCCAAGTGGGAATAGACGCAGCCTAAAAGACACCCACTCCAGATCTCCATAACATGGCAACTAGGGCAAGGGAAGAAATGTGGAGTCAAAGTGAGGGAGTCACCAACCGAGTAGGAGCTGCACAAGGGACTGCAAGACGAGGATGGTAAATAAAGCCAGAACAAGTGAGGAGAGAACACGTGGTGAAGCCACAGAGGGTGCAGTGAGCTGGCTAAGTGTGTATACTGAGAATGCAGGAGAAGAATTTAGGTTCTTAGCCCAGGAGCTGTGAGGAGTCTGGGGGGCAGCATTGGCCAAGTGTGAGAAGGAAGCTTGTGGAATCACCAGCAAACAGGCAGTAGCTTTAGATAAGGGGCAATGAGAAGCGTGCACGTTTGCTGTTTTTATTATCCAAGTCAGAATTCTCATTTGAGAACAATTCCGCTCTTAAAGAAACAATCCTCCCAGTCTTTGCCATTCCCCAATTTTTCCATTCTGCACCATCTTGTTGAGCATATGCGAAAATGGGGGGCCCAGTGTGAAAACTCGTTGGCACATGTTTCCTCTTTTTTTTTTTAATGGCTTTAAGTGAAATTAGTGGAGCCAAGTATGCCTGACAGAGAGACCTGGGGAGTTTAAAGAAAGAAGTAGCAGTCTCACTGGGCTAAGAGACTATAGATCTCTCCACATAGAAACTGACTTTAAACTATCAGTTCACAAAAATTAATAGCAATCATTTCATTCATTAATATGTTTATTTGCAACAAATATGACATTTTCCCCCATTATTTGGATTCCTTTGTTTTCCGTTTGGCTTGAAATTTGGGTAAGGCACAGGTGTGCATACAGTTTGGGAATTAAGCTCCTCAAATTCCCAAAGAAATAATTTCCAGAACGAAGTAATGGAAAGCCTGAACAAGTGAAAGCGTCCCATCCGCTGCTAGTTACACTTTCCGTATTTGACAAATGCAATATGAGGGCCGAATTCCCTAAAGAAAAGAGAGAACGTTAGTTCCTTAAGGGAAGAGGACATTGCTCTTAAACGTGCTTTCGCCACCTTCTAAATGAAGTCCTAAAGTGGAGGATGATTCTGTTAGTATTCAGACGTCTGTACTGGCTTGCCCTTGGGGTTCCGACAGGCTATGTCCTCAGCTGTAGCCAATAAGAGCGCCTCCTGTGTACATTCACTATTTTCGCTTTTAAAAGAGCCCTGCCAACCTCCCCCTCCCCTCTCTCTTTGTCTCTCGCTTCTCTTTTCTTCTCTCACCCCTGGGGTGTCCCTAAAGACTTGTCTCCCACCCTCCCTTCCCTCTCTTTACATTCTCCCTTCCCTAATAAAAACCCCTCCATGTGAATCCTGTTGCCTGGCATCTTTCTCTCTTGCGGTGCTTTTTAAAAATTACAACAGCTTCTACAATTCCATGTGTACCCATCTTGTCCATTCCTGTTACCATGTCATATTTCACACATGCCTGATCTATGTGTTGATTACTCAAAATGTGTCATGAAAACTTTCAATATGGTGTTTTGTATCTTGATGCATTATAGAGTAAAGAAAAATACATTAGTTATATTTTGCCTTGAACTTACCACTGATCAATGCAAAAGAAGCACTCATTCTTGTAGGTTAAGCCGTTTGTAGCACAAACAAATGCTACCACATCTGGACAGCTTGCTTCATAATTAGGATCTATTGGGTAATACATTTTGCATGGGGGCTGGAAACATAAACATGACAAGAATAAGTTTATTTTTTCCCTTTTATCAGTTACCTTTCACTTCTAACCCACATAGCAATGATATTAAATCCTACTAGGTGAACATTTAAGGATTTCCTGTCTTCTAAACTTCCACCAGGTGAGTTTTTGTTTCTACTTTTGTCATGTAGTAACTCCATGTACCCCATAGTTACTTCAATGATAACCATCATAGAATCCCTGCTAAACCCCAAGTACGCAGTTTTCCTTTGAACTTGCCTCCATTCCAGTATGCTATTGTATAAGAAATTAATGAGTAAAGATACGTATCTTTACTCATTATTAGTCATTATGTGTTTGTGAACTTAGGGCAGGATTACCACATAGTTGGTAAGAATGAGAACTGTCTATGGAGACTAGAGATACGTGATGTTTGTGGCTGAGCAAGCAATGATTGTTATTTCATTAAATGCTCAGCAATATCTAATTGGTGTGGGTTTTTTTTTACACTGTAACATTTGCTAAACCATGTTAGTGTGTATGTTATAAGGGTTATGCTACCTGGGAAGAAGTCCACCCTGGAGAGATTAAGATGTGTGTCCAAGCAAGGTCAGGGGAAAATCTGTCAATGCATGTCACCTCTGTGGAGTCTTAGACACTTTTGAGGAGAGTGATCCAGGCAGAAGAAGAATATAGACTTGAAAATTGAGGCTTACCTTAGGCCATCTAGAAGGGTTACGTGAACTGACGAGTTCTGCAAATAAAGCACGAACACACTGAGTTAGAAGAACTAGTGTATGATGGGATGCAACCTCACCCACTAGCCACTTACTCGGAAAGCCATGGAAGAAAATTTACAGAATTTATAGGTGGTACTCCTTTGTGGACTGATTTATTTATTTATTTGTCTATCTATCCTATATATAATTTTCAGAGCTCATACTTCATTTGCAAATTGCTACGTCATTGAGGGAAAAGTACTAGGCTGAGTGACAAGCTACAGAGAGCAGGTCTGGCATGTATGAAATGCTGGGTTCCAACTCCAGCATTGCAATAAGTAAATTAATCAGCTAAATAAAAACAATTTGGAGTTGTATGACTTATAATGTTATTTATAACAGTAAGTTTCCTGTTCTACAATTAGGATAATTATATACATTTTCAGACTTCTGTTAAATTACATGTGATACAGAAGTAGTGTATTACTGCAGGTCCTGCTAGGATGCTAACTTAATATGGGTCCACTGATTGATGACAAGGAGGTAGAACAAGCACCCAGCTTTCAGGAGACTGGCTCTGAGAGCAGGTTTTGTTAGATGATCTTGGTGCCTACAGATAGAGACCAACTGTGAGAGAAAGAACGAAGATGGGCTGACTATAGTTCTGTTTCTATCTCTGGTGGTTTAAAATTACCACAGGATAGCTTAACAAGGAGCAATATTCCTAAATTACAAACTATGCCTCAGAATTTAGGACTAGAAGTATATCTCAATAATAGAGTATTAGCACAACATGTAAGATGCCCTGAGCTCACTAATAAATAAAGGCAATTTCTCTTTGGATGGATACCTTGATCAGCCTAGATATGGTGAGGAGCACTTTGATCCTTCCTCAAAGAAATGTGCCTTACCCTCCCTGAGGCATGGAGAGAGGGTGGGGTGTGGTTCGGAAGACGGTGGAGGGAAAGGGAGGAGAGGAGGGGTGAAACTGGGATTGGTATGTAAAATGAAAAAAAAAGATAACTTGTTTTCTTTTTAAAAATAAAAAATAGAAAAGAAAAAAGAAAAAGTCAATTTCAGAAGAGACAATATGAATACATATATAACAATGCACACACAAACCCAATGAAGACACAGAAGCAAAATCTGAAAAAGATACTCCACTTAATTCATGATGGGTTGTTTAAAAATCATACTCAAAAGCCACTTATGACCTATTGTGTCAGCTGCTGAGAAAGAGGTATTTTCATGCTTTTCTTTCTTCAAAAGCATTCATTTATGAAAAGGAAGTTGTCAATATTGGGCCAAATTACATTTGAATTTTTATTTAACTCATCACTCCCAACTCAATGAATTTCTTTTAAAGATGCATCTCCAACAATACAAAACCTCATGTGCATAATATTATTTATGGAAGAACTATTTGCTGTTACACACCAAGATTCATCTACTCCAGTAGAACAGTTGTCAAATGGTTTGCTGCATCTACTCAGGGAAATTCTACATAATTGGACAGTAGAAAGAAAGTTCCCTGTGAACTATGATCTCTTGACCTTCCAAGATTCAATAGAAGTAGGAAAAAGTAGGTTGTAAACAGACATCTATAGTATGCCATCTTCATGTAGGCAGCAAGAGGGTAATGATGTGTAAATATTGTTTGGATAAAAACACAGGAAGCCCAGAGAATTGAAGTTGACTACAAAGAGGACGGTGTGTGATTAGAGCAGAAAGGATAATGGAACTGTGCAATGTTAACTCTTTTTGCTTATTTTGCTTTCATTAAAATTAATTTCAAATTGGAGCTTGGAAAATGGCCTAGGAAGTTCAAGAACCTGCTGCCCAAGCCTGAAGATCTGAGTTTGACCCCCAGAGTGCACGCACAGTGAAGGAACACTGATTCCTGACTGAATGTAGTTCTCTGGCCTCTACATATATGAATGGCTCCTCACAAACACACCCCTTATGCAAACTCACACAAGGGAAAAAAAAAAAAAAAAAAGACTGAAGGGCTATTGACCTGAAACATCCAGGTGAGCAGAGAAACTTCTGACAGAAAAGTTTACACCCTGGTGATATCTGCAGACAGTTAGGAGCTGGGAAACTTTTGACAAGGAACATAACATAGAGGTAAGAACTTCAGGTAGAATTTATAGCTTGCGGATGCAGGAAACAGATTGGCAGCTGGCATTTTCCACTCAAGAGTTCCTTTCTCTGACCTGTAAGACCCTCAAGCCTCCTGCACCTCGGTGCAGTTTCTTTTCCCATGGAGAAATGCCTGCTCTTCATTCCTCTAATAAAAGACAATCTGCCTCTGTAGAGATTAATCCCCCAATTAATTTTGGTGTTTTGAGACAGGGTCTCTTTATGTGTCCCTGGCTGTCCTGGAACTCATTAGGCAAACCAGGATGACCTCAAATCACAGAGATTCCCCTGCCTCTTCCTCTGGAGTACTAGGTTTAAAGGTCTGTGGAATTATGCCTGGCATCTCTTTGTTTTATTTTCAAGTTCCCTTATTGAATATCCATCTAACAACAACAATAATGTTATAAAGAAAAAATAGAAACAAATTAAACTACTTTAAAATTGTTTCTATGATTTTTTTCTGACCCATGTATTATATGCCAGCATATTGTTTAGTTTTCAGCTATCAGAGGACTTTTAGAGTAATTTCCTTTGCTTGTAAAAAAAAGTGTTCATTATATATGTACTCACTTGCTTAAGCTTAAAATTTGCAGAAAATGGCTTACAGAATTCCTATTTCATCTTCTGTGGAAAAGAACTCCACACATAGAACTCAGTACTGCCCTACTTTCCTGTTTGTTGCTGTTACAAATATCCCGACTAAAGGCGCTTTATTTGGATCACGATTCTAATTAGTTGATCATTTCCGAGACATCAAGGCAGGAAGTCACATCACATCAGTAATCAAGCTCAGAGAACAGATAAGTGCACCCTTGCTCGACTGCCTTGCTCTCGGTAGGTTTTCTCTTCTCCTGTTTTCCAGGATGCTTTGCCTAGGGAATGGTGCCACCCACCAGGGACCTGGTCTTCCTACGTCAGTTTGCAATCAAGAGACCCACACTGGCAAACCTGATGTAGATAGTTCCTCATTAAGATTCCCTACCCAGGTGATTGTAGGTGTTAAGACTTAAAACTGACCAATACAAACCGATATTTACTTTTTCTTTAGAATGAAGTTCTTACCACTGAAATCCTATATTTAAGGATGACTTGTGTTCATTTCATTCTGCCCATTTTAGTGAGGAGAATGTTTCTCTTGAGATATGTTTTTTTTTTCTCACTGCTTCTATTTGCTTTCACTTCTGTGGTGTTTCCTTGATTCTCTAAGATATTTAAGAAAAATGTGTCCATCTGTTTATTTGCGTGTTCTTTAAAAATTACAAATATATCTGTGTATATGCACGCATATGCGTACACACATACAAATGTGCCACGGTGTGCCTGTGGAAATCAGAGGACAACTTACAGGAGTTAATTTTCTCCTTTTATCATGAGTCCTGGGAATCAAACATAGGTCATCGGGCTTGGTGATAAGCATCTTTAGTCTGCAAGCCATCTGGACATCCACCATGCTGATTCTACTAATTTATTACTCAGTACTGGCAACTGCACACATGTAAAAGTCAGAAAACAACTTGCACGAATCAGTTCTTCTACCATGTGAGTTATGGGCTTTGAACTGAGGTCATCAGCCACGGGATCCAAAGTCCCGATCTAATGAGCATTCTACCGCAGGATCCAGCAATACCACTCTTGGGAATATACCCAAGAGAGGCCCTATCATACTACAGAAGCATTTGTTCAACTATGTTCATAGCAGCATTATTTGTAATAGCCAGAACCTATAAACAACCTAGAAACCCTTTAATGGAAGAATGGATAAAGAAAGTGTGGAATATATACACATTAGAGTACTACTCAGCAGTAAAAAACAATGACATCTTGAATTTTGCAGGCAAATGGATGGAAATGGAAAACACTATCCTGAGTGAGGTAACCCAGACCCAAAAAGATGAACATGGGATGTACTCACTCATAATTGGTCTAGCCATAAATAAAGGACATTGAGCCTATAATCTGTGATCCTAGAGAAGCTAAATAAGAAGGTGAACCCAAAGAAAAACATATAGCTATCCTCCTGGTTATGGGAAGTAGACAAAATTACCTGGCAAAAATTGGGAACTTGGGAGTGGGGGTAGGATGGGGTTAAGGGGAGATGGGGAGAGAAAAGTGAGAAGGGGAGATGGGGAGAGAAAAGTGAGAAGGGGAGGATGGGGAGAGCTTGGGGGAATGGGATGGTCGGCTTTACTTGTAATGGGAACATTACAGTGAATGTTCTCTGCCCTAGAAGACTTGGTTTGGTTCCAAACGTACAGCTGAGAAGAATCTACAATATAGAAAACAAAGCTGATTTTTTTTCTTCTGAAGGAAATACATTTTAAAAGTATGTAGTTTGAACTTACAAGCTCAACATTTCATATTTCAGAAAAACATTCTAATCCAAAGTAAAAAATTACTCTTATTTTCTCTACAACTTTAAGAAAGTCAAATTTTTATCTCCAAGACTGCTCACCTGAAAAAGTAACATGTGTCAAAGTAGAGAGCATCAGAGAGAGTGTGATCACGTGGTACAAGCAGATGCTTCTTCTCATGTCTTCTGCTGTGAAGACTAAGAAAATGCCTGTTAGTTTATTCCCAGTCTACGGTACAGATAACTTTTTAACGTGAGAAAACTCAGTGCCCTTGGAGATGCTGTGTCAAGACAAAGCTGGCCACGGTGGTCTCACACAGGCTCCAGGCATGTAGACATGAGAGAGTCTCTTTGCTTAAAGAATGACAGGAAAACTATACCAAAAATTCCCTTTCCCAACCCTATTGTGTGTCTAGAATAGAGATTAGGCTCAAGACTTTACAAATTTATATCATCCACTTAGGCCCATATTCGTTCTATTTCTTCTCAAAATTGTAGGCAATGGGACATAAAGAACTGAACTGAGAGAGACCCACAATGAGTGAAGCTTTTCTATTTTCACAGGCAAAGAAAACAAAAGGAAGATGAAAGCAAAATAAACCAACCAAGCCATGACAACCATAGAATGGAAAGGTGAAATCTGAGATACGGGGAAACACGAACTATCACCACTAACTTTGACTAAGGATAGAGGAGACAAAAAGAAGTTACCTGAATGAACTTTCTGTTGTCAGATTGAAGTTACAGCTAGCGTTAAAAGGAACTGACTATGGGCCTGCAAAGCCATAGAGGTGGGTCACCTGCTCAGTTGAGTGACCACTAACTTGGCATGAGTTTATTCTCTTGGCTGTTTTCTGGCGTTTGATCCTCTTTCATGACACCCCCTCGGATGTTTCACGCTTCAGCAGGCAAGGCCAGGCCTGAAGGAGCTGAGTGAGTTTTAGTTATGAAACACAGGAAATAAAAGCATCCTAAATATCTAATGTTTGCAAAGTAGATTAACTACTTGTTGCATTCCAGGCTGTTTGGTAAATGTTCTCGCCAAACCACAGCCTGTTTTCAGCCTTTCCACATTCCTTTGTCTTTACTTTTTAGAAGACTTACCTGTTTATATTCAAGCTTTGTTTTTTTTCCCCCTTTTTCTGCTAACCTAGGAAACCCTAATAGTCTTCTAATCAATATTATTTCTGGTGCTACTCTCCCAATTTCTGCACCTGTTGCTCTTGACTATACCTCAAGATATGCAATTCAGAAAAGTGACCTTTATCTGAAAATAAAAATCACCATATACTTTAAGCTTTTCTAGTGTCATTAGAACTTTGTTTTTTGTTTTATATCTTGGATGTACTGAAGTAACAATCCCTGACATAGATAGTCCCTAGATGGGTCCATCAATATTTTGAGATCTTGCTATGTTGCCTTCTGTCCTTCTTCTAAGTTGGAGTAAATTCAACTCTGATTTCTTTCAGACCTGGTGGTGTTAGATAGAAGATAATCTACACACTATAACTCAACAATCCCACTTTGATAGAGATTCCCTAGGAAGCCTCTCATTTAATGTGATATTGCTGTTATGCTACTTAACACACCCCATTTTCTTTCTTTTCTCCGTCCCCATGCACTGCTCTGAGGAGAAATGTCACCTTTTATTCCTGAATGAATAAACAAACACAAGGACACATGATCTACAGCTCTACTCCTTTCCCATAAAATTCTGGAAATCAGGTCAACGAGTTTTTCCTTCTATTTCCATCGTTCACCTTATACTGCTTAGCACGGGGAGCTGCTATTTCTTTGCCCCCCTCTCTCTTCCTATCTTTCTATAAGTTCTTTGTGAGTATTACACGTCATACAACATGTTTTGATCATATTTGCCTTCCTTTTACCAACTCTTCTTAAATCCACCTTATTTTCTTTCCCATCCAGCTTTGTGTCTATGTTTTTAACCCTTCAGGACCAAGTTCCGCCATCCAAATACTCCTGGATACGTGGCCTTCCCCTGAAGCATGGTTAACTTACCAGCCGCTACATACACTCTTAGGAAAGAATCTGTTTCTCCCTCTCCCACCTGTTAACAATTCCCATTTGCTCTGTGGCAAAGGGTGGGATTGTGTGCCCAGCTCCCTCTCAACGCTGGCATTTGGTGTGGTGTGGGCTCGCCAGTTACTATGCATGCTGTCACAGCTGCTGTGAGTTCATGTGTGAGCAGCCCTGTGGTGTCCAAAAACATGTTTCCTTTTCATCATCCATCACCTCTTTCTACATGGCTGAAAATTCTATAGCCCCTTGTTCTTTACTCTTTTTTTTTTTTTTTTTTTTTTTTTGGTTTTTCAAGACAGGGTTTCTCTGTGGCTTTGGAGCCTGTCCTGAAACTAGCTCTGTAGACCAGGCTGGTCTAGAACTCACAGAGATCCGCCTGCCTCTGCCTCCTGAGTGCTGGGATTAAAGGCATGTGCCACCATCGCCTGGCTGTTCTTTATTCTTTCTACATTGACCTTTTGGGTCTCTGTGTTAATACCATCTTCTGAAAACACAAGTTTCTCAGATGATTGTTAAGAGATTCAATGAAGTATGGCTATGTCATAGGAGTAAGTTTAATACTTTGTCCATTTGGCAGTATCACAGTACCAGGTTCTCTCATAAGGCCTGCAACTGTCTAGACCTAGGTTTTTGTCCGCATATGTGTACCACATGTGGGTTTTATCTTGTGGAGTGTGACTTAAGCCCAATTAGAAAATGGTTGGTTACTCCCATGATGCTCCTGCCACTATTGCACCAGAGGTCATGTCTTATCAAATCTTATTCATTGTTGTAGGTAACAGGGCTTGCTTACAGCAGGGCATGGGTGATGAGTACTTCTCTACTCTGGTAGGTTATGTAGCACCTACCAACACTACTACTAAAGCTTCTAGGTCTGTACCAGATTTATTTTACCATGAGCTCATGACTCAAGTAGGTACTATCTTCAACAATAAGTTCTTACTGTCATGTTCTGAAGGGTAACCAAGAGCAATTGAAATAGCTTGTAATGTCTTTTTGGAAAGTGGTCTGTAGGACCTCATTGACCATCAACTCCAAAACAAGTAATCCATTCCTGACACAAGGTTTTCTTTTCTCTTTCTCTCTTTTTTATTTAATTATTTTTTTTCATTTTACATTTCAGCCCCAGTTCCCCCTCCCTCCCCTTCTCTCACTTTCCCACCTCCCCTAGTCTCTGCCCCCATCCACTCCTCAGAGGGGATAAGGCCTCCCATGGGATGTCAACAAAATCTGGAATACCAAGTTGAGGCAAGAACAAGCACCGCCACCAAATCGAGTTGGGCAAAGTATCCAATCATAGGTAATGGGCTCCAAAAAGCCAGTTCATGTACCTAGCATAAGTCTTGGTCCCACTACCAAAGGCCCCACAGACAGACCAAGCCACAAAACCATCACCCACATTCAGAGGGCCTAGGAACTAGGCTTTTTAAATGTTAGCCTCAGTTGTTTCAAGCTTCGATATGTCTTTTGGAAAGAACTTTAGTGTTACTTATCTCTCACCCCACTCCCTCCTCTATCCCACCCTCTGCTCTGGGTATTCCTAATCATTCTTATTTCATTATTCAATTTTTTACCTTTAATACCAGTGACCTCTAACTCCCCTATCTTGAAAGTCTCTCCCATGACACCTTAGTAATTCCCTGACCTCCATGGATATTCCAAATCAAACAAACATATATGAAGATTCAAAGATTGTATCATCAGATGAGAGAAAATATGGGATGTTTGTCTTCTTGGGTCTGAGTTACCTCCCTCAGAATGATTGCTTCCACTTACCTGTAAATTCCACGATTCATTTTTCATAGTTGAATAATATTCCATTGTGTAAATACATCACATTCTCATTATCCATTCAACAGTTAATGAACATTTGGACTATTAGGCTGTTTTCATTTCCTGGCTGTTATGAGCAGAGAAGCAATGAATATAGATGAACAGGTATTTTTATAGTAGTATGTGAAGCTCTTTGGGTATATATCCAAGAGTAGGATAGCTGGATAATGTGATAGATCTAATTTTCTCTTTTTGAAGAACCACTACACTGGTTTCCATAATGGTTACACCAGTTTGCTTTCCAACTAGCAGTGGATACATAACCCCCTTTCCTGGCATTCATTCTCTCTCTCTCTCTCTCTCTCTCTCTCTCTCTCTCTCTCTCTTTCATCTTTATATATTCTAGATTATAAACTTTTGTCAAACTCTTACATGGTAAAGGTTTTTTTTTCCCATTCTCTAGATGGACTCCCTACTGGGTCAATGGTGTTCTTTGATATACAGAAGATTTTACTTTCATTAGGTCCCATTTATCAGTTGTTGGTATTAATGGCTGTACTTTTTAGGGTCCTATTCAGAATATCCCTTCTTCCTATAAGATCAAGAATAGTCCCTATATTTTTTCTCTATCAGGTTTAGGGTATCAGGTCTTATGGTGATGTCTTTGATCCAGTTGGAGCTGAGTTTTGTGCAAGGTGAGAGATAGCAAAAGGGTTTCATTCTTTTGCATGTAGCTTACACAGCCAGAGTAGGATCATTTGTTGAAGATGCTATTTTCCCCCAGGTGCATTTTTAGCCTGTTTGTCAAAAGTCAAGTTACTGTAGGAGTTGTGTGGGTTATATACTGATCCTAAGTTCTAATCTACTGAACAATTAATCTTTTTGTATGCTGGTCCCATGATATTTTCATGATTATAGCTCTGTAGTATAACTTGACAGATGGTGAGGCCTCTACCAGTTTTGTTGTTGTTATTATTATTCAATATTGTTTTTGGTCATCCTATGTTATTTGTATTTCCATATGAAATTTAAGGCATTTTTATTCAATTTCTGTGAAGAATTATATAGTATTTTGATGCAAACTGTATAGAGTCTGTGAATTATTTTTGGTAGGATGTCTATAGTCACAATATTAATTATACCAATCCAGGACCATGTGAGGTATTTTTCAGATTCCTAAATTTTCCGTTGTATAAGTCTTTCACTTCCTTGCTTAGACATATTCTGAGATGTTAGTCAGGGCCATGGTTTCAGTTACCCCGGAGGTTCACTCAGTGTTCCCTGAGGTTGCTCAGTGCTTCCGGGGGTGGCTCTGCAATCCTGGGAGTTGTTAGATCCTGCTCCCAAGGAGGTTGCTTGCTTGGGGCTGCTCCTGCTAAGGTCACTGCCTTGGACCTGCTCTGGCAGAGGTCGCTGGCTCAGGCCTGCTCCAGCAAAGGTCTCTAGCTGGGGCCTGCTCCCTCAGAAGTCACTGATTAGCACCCAGTCCGGCAGAGGTCTCTGGCTCCGGGCCTGCTCCCTGAGTGGTGGCATCCTTGTACCTGCTTCTGTGGGGGGTCATTGCCTTGGGCCTGCTTCTGCTGAGGTTACTGACTCATATCCCACAGATGTCCCTGGCTTAGATCTGCTCCCATGAAGGTCCCTGTTTTGGGCCCAGTTTTACAGAGGTCTCTATCTTAGGCTTCTTCCCTCAAAGATCTCTGACTTGTGCCCAGTCTTGTAGAGGTCTCTGACTCAGGCCTGCTCCCTTACAGGTTGCTCCCTTGTACCTACCTGCTACTGTGGAGGTTGCTGCCTCAGGTCAAGAAAATTTTTATATGCTAATGAAGCAAATACAATCTATATATCTAAATTTGATAAAAAGTATACTGTAATAACATTTTAACCTAACATAGTATGTACTATTGAATATAATATTAAGGGAACAGGGTAGAAAATGAGGGAATATAGGAAGAGAAGCTATTCTTAAGGGCCATTTGAGGGATAGTAAGGAAACCTAATACAGCAGAAGCTTCCTAAAATATGTACTTATATGAAGGTTGATCTAACTGAAATTTTAAAAAGTAATGGAGGAGATAGAGACCCAACTAGAAATCTCCTGTCA